ATTGATGTTTTTGACTGTGCGAATTACAAACAAAGAACAAAATACTGTAATATCGAAATGACATCTGGAGAATCAGAAGTGAATACTGACGATGATGAAATGATGATAGAATAAATGAGATATTTAATAGTAACATATCACCCTAGATTTTTATTACACTTATAGTTTCGTATGTAAGTTCGGAAGCTTTTAGTTTTCAAAGAAGCTATTTTGTACATACTACATTTCAATAAAGTATTGTTAACTTCATCAAATAAAGCACGATAAAGCTATGTAGCATATGATTTTGTAGAGGAAAGAGAGCTGCACAATTTCTGATGTTTGGAAAATGTTTTGCTCTGAATTATGTAGAGTTATGAAAGTTATTTGTGGTAATAGCATGAAAAATAATCATATTTTAAAGAAAAAAAATGTTAGAAGTCACATCTCAGATATGATACAAATATAAGTGATATGGATTCTGAAAGTACGCAGTCTGGGCTATCAAACGGTATATGCATAGTAGTACTTATTTTTGATTTACGCCTGAATAACATTGGTTTAGTAGATAGGAGACCAGTACCAAAAAGGGGCTCAAAATTAAACCTTTTAGTTTAGTTTACTTTGACACTAGACTTTGTGAAGCAATAATATACATACCATCGTGACGAGTAAAAATTTCTCTACAAGATGGTATATCTGCTTTCTTGCGGTCAAAAATTCAATGAAAACTAATCATCGCCTTTTGACACGACGTATTATGATTCTTATATGAATCTTATCGGAATCTTACCAGTTTCTTATATAAGATTCTTATCAATATTCTATACATTTCCATTGGTTGCCTATTAAGAAACTCATAAGATTCCTATCAGATTCTTGTAGATATTCTATACGAGTCCTGTGGAAATCCTATATAAAACTTAATCTCTAGGAACGAATGATAAATTGCTAGACTTAGACATTGTTTTATGTTTTGATGTTATCTCTTGCTTTGAAATGGTCTAACATTGGAATAGGATAGATGCAAACAGTCGCTATTCTTTAACATAATCAAAACACATTCACCTACATGCATTTAACTAGTACAACCACCGGTAGTATTACCATTTTGTAGCCCGTAAAATTCTCTACCGGATGATATATGATATATACTAAGGGGATAAAAGCACCACTTCACGTCCACTTCACATCACGTGAAAGTCACTTCACTTCGTATAAGGGGTGTCAGAATCCACATAAAATCGCTCTGCCGTTTGTAGCGCTATCTGGGAGCCTCCTTGAAATCCATATATATAGAACAATATATATACGATTTAGGCATAATAAATTTAGAATTGTAGATATTAATACAACAGCTGATTTAAACCGCATTTTATTAATCAAAAAAGTTAAAAATCAAAAGATAATGACAAATATTTTGTCGAAATAAATAAAAAACTTTTCTGATTAATAAAATGCGATTTTAGTTAGCTACTGTATTAATATCAACAATTCTAAATTTTTTGCCTCTAAATCTTAAAAATGTTTCGAAATACAGTGGCTCCAAAATTGATCATACAGATATAACTTCGATTTTTTTCCGTAATGGTACCTGATATAAAGAAGTCAAATAGTGATTTGGATAGAGAAATTGTTTCCAACAAATATTTGAGGAAAATAAAATCCTCATTATATTCCCAAATTCAGGGTCTCCAGAAAACCCAAACCCTAGTTTTTCAGCATCCAGAACACGATAATATAAGTTTGTTTTAACCACATACAGTGATTAAGACCCTGAATTTGTGAATATAATGAGGATTTTATTTTCCTCAAATATTTGTTGGAAACAATTTCTCTATCCAAATCACTATTTGACTTCTTTATATCAGTTACCATTACGGAAAAAAATCGAAATTGTATCTGTATGATCAATTTTTGGAGCCACTGTATCTCTGGCATCATTATGGGCGAACTACAATGAAATGCTTTTGAGATCTGGTTAGGTTGCAGCAGATATTATGTAAGTTAGAATTGTATCTAAGATTTCTTTATCTAGTTTTTCTTACATTAATATCACTGTTACTGCATATTTTTCTTGATAATGACAATTATTTTGTCGAAGCGTCGAAATAAATAAAAAACTTTTCTGATTAATAAAATGCGATTTTAGTTAGCTGCTGTATTAATATCTACAGTTCAGCAATTACTTCCTTCATCCCGACTTTTCCACGAATTTTTCTTAGTACATAGTAGTGGTCGTCAAAAATTGGTAGTGTGTCGCCAAAAATGGAGGTGGAAATGTTGGCAGTGTGAGAATGAGTCCGAAAAGTAGTGTCACATAAAACATATTTTCATGATGTGAAACGATATATCTGTAACTGTATCAGATAATGACGATTCGCCACATAACTTCTCTCAGGTTTCATGTCGTTCGCGGTAATGTCGGTGCATCAGAAAAAGTCACATCAACACATTCAGAATAGCGTCTTCTGCTACCTTTATTTTATTTCACTTTTTTTCAGACATAAGATCGTTTATTGAATATCAAATGAAAGAAGTAATTACTCTTTCTTATCGTATATGAACTATTGTACTAAACGTCGTAGCAGCATTTTCATTTAAAGCTATTCTAATTAGAATAAGAGTTTAGTTTTCATTTTGTGTGATTTTAGCGAGAGAACATACGAAACATTACTTTAACAAAAAATACATAATAAAAACGAACGTTGAGCATATTGGGGAAATGTTGAAATTGCTAATAATAAATTTAATTATGATTATTGGTTGTGTTCAATCAGAAGGTCTAGAATCAACATTAAAATTAGTATATTCCGACGCAAAATTTGTACCGGTTAATCTCGTGGAATCACTCAGTGTTTTATCATCCGTTCAATTATTAATAAAGTGTCTACAATCATGTAATCAAAATATATTATGTCGAACATTTGATTATGATCCATCAGCTTTCACGTGTGAATTATATCAAGGTGATATGTCCACAGGAACTCTCCTATCCTCATCGCCCTCAATTATCGGTAGTGTTTATTTCAGTTCACATTTGTATACAGTTTATGGTGCATCATGTGATCGATGTTTAACTAATCGGTATTTGATATGTGTAAATGGAGCATGTCAGTGTCCTTTGACAACATTCTGGGATGGTGTAATATGTCAAAATCAATTGTATTTTGGTGCTATATGTGTTTCAACATCATCGTGTCGACAAGCTTTAAATCTAACATGTTATAATAGTTTGTGTGTTTGTACAAATTCAACATTGTACTGGAATGGAACCGGCTGTCATCGTATGTATTATATTATCTAACACTTTTTATCTCTATTTGATCCTACAAATGAATCGTCTTGAGGTGGAGATGTGCAACCCGAAGGTTGAGTACTGGTTTCGTTTTCTCAAAATTCAACCGAAAATCGGAAGATTTTAGTGGAAAGCCACAAACTTTTAGTGAAAAAATACACGAATTTAGTTAAAATATACGAAGTTTTAAAAGAGTTACTTGAGAACGTGATAATAGCTTGACATCTCCAGCCGAAAAACAAAAGCTTTTAGCTGGAAAACGAAAAAGACAAAAGTTTGTAGACATTAGTTGGGTGCGAGCCAAAAAAAGATTTTTTAGATCGGGTACAGGTCGGAAAACGGTACTCTATTTTGGTAGAACTTTGCAGATGGTTTTTCTTATTCTTCGAGCCTTATTCTACTAGACTAAACGCATAAAACATATTTTTAAATAGATTTGCGAGTACGCATAAGTTGAAGCTTGCCAAAAAAAGTTCGTCTTATTGAATCTATCGATTACGTGTCAAAACCGATTCTAGAAGTGGATTAGCACAAAATGAGAAACGCAAACGACTAGTATGCTTTGTTGTGCAAAGTTACCTTTGGATTCCGTAAGTATTGACTAATAATGGTTATAATAGAAACTCCACGCACTCCCTAATGTAGACATATTGCATAAAGGAAGTCTACTTTTGTCTCTCACGCTTGCGTACAATCATATTTCATGAAGTCCGGATCTTGAAGATTTGAAACAATGCTCTTTCATATGGATACTGATGAAAGATGAGAAAAATTTCGAGGAGAATACCAAAACTTTGCTTCTGTCAGCCACTACCACGACTTTTAGTTTCAATTCAGAGTCAACCCTCTAAATCACACGACTTTTTATCAGGTATTTGAAAGGTGGATAGATTTTGACTGAGAAAGCGAGCCACTCTCACCTTTTTTGCTGTTAAACAGTAAGTAAATCCATACAACTAGAAAAATTCCGTCATCTGCATTGCTGCTTATGCGACTAACGGCATAAAAAGTCAAAATGTCATCGTCTTAATCGTTTATTCATAGGCGTTTTGCAGTGGAATAGAACAGGAATAGTTGTTGCTGGTGTGACTAATGTTAGTGGGATAACACCAAATTTGTTAAATAAACCATGTTATGCATTTGTTGCTTCTGATGATAACCTTTATATTGCCGATACTTCCAACGCACGTGTACAAAAATGGCTGCCAAATGCAACATCAGGTTTGACTCTGGCTGGTAATGGTACGTCTGGATCAGCGTCAAATCAGTTGTATTTTCCAACATGTGTTTATGTTGATCGAAATTTTAATTTATATATTTCTGATCTTGTCAATTATCGTATTCAGTATTGGCAGATAAATGCTTCGTTTGGAGCAACAGTCGCTGGTACAAGTGTTTCAGGTAATACAAGTAACACATTTGGTTCTGTATACGGATTTTGGGTTGATATAAGTCGTAATATTTATGTGGTGGATTTGAGTAATCATCGTGTTATGAAATGGCCGTTTAATGGAACATCAGGTATGCTGGTTGCTGGGGGTAATGGTGGAGGAAATTCTAATAATCAGCTGTATTCTCCATATGGTATTTATGTGGATGAATTAAATTCTGTTATGTATATAGCAAATTGGAATGGTTATACAGTTATGAAATGGGTTTTAGGTGCCTTAAGTGGAACGTTTATCGTCGGTACACCTGGTACATTTGGTTTAACTCCGTCAGAACTCTACACACCTCAACATATTCAGTTTGATAAAAACGGTAATATGTATGTTTTGGATACAAATAATCAGCGTGTTCAAATGTTTCAGCGTAACTCAAGTGTCGGGATAACAATTGCCGGACAAACAGGCACGCTGTTAAATAATCCTAACAGTATTGTCTTCGATTTATATCTCAATCTGTATATTGCTGATTACTCTAACCATCGTGTGCTTAAATTTCAATTATTATAATTTATATAGAAGAATTTTACAGAAAAGCAATCGTTTAATCAGTGATTATTAAGAGACGATCTGAGACTGCATTAGGCACTGAGGTCAATAGTATTTGAAAATAATAGATTTTTTCTAATTCTGTTTATTCAAATTTCCGATGAAAGTGCTCCATTAATCCAAGTCTTTAGACCTTGAAAAACGTTCCTGTTCTGTTATTAACGTTTTCCAAATTCAGTGTCGGGATAACAATTGCCGGGCAAACAGGCACGCTGTTAAATAATCCTAACAGTATTGTCTTCGATTCATATCACGTTTTCCAAAGTCAAATTTACCTTTCCGAGACGCGACAGTTTTTTAAATTAGTTATTTTTCTGTTTGCTCCATATTATCAAACTTTCAATTATACGTCAGTCGACACAACGTATACAATTCAACAAAATGTGATGATACTTTTCAGTTTTTCCAAAATTAGAACTTCTGATAAACCAAATTTAAACTATAATAATTATTGAAAACTGATATTTTTTTGTTTTTTTAAAGCTCATCAAATTGAGTACGATCGTTGTTACAAGATTATGCATGTTAATTTTGACATTACAAAAACCGCTTAAAAAAACGCTATCAATCTCGCTTCACTGTTTCGAGACCCTAATCTGTTTTTCAATATCGTTTTACTTTTTTGCTTTTGTAGAAGCGACGATGATAATAAACTACGTGTATTCAAAAGTACTACAGAGTATGTGATGGTGCCCTTTTCTGGTATTTTAGTTGATATCACGTGAAAAAAAATAAAAATTGAGTAATAGAAGAAATGTTAGACCATCAGACTTTAGAAGAATAAATAAAAGAGGTGTAGAATCGCCTTTGAGAAGAAGCATAAAACCTGTTGTGGGTATATAACAAATTGAAATGTTAGGTATAAAGAAAGACATGTGCCAAGGTTATTCTGTACTTTAAAGAAAGAAAAACGCTAAAGAGAAGAATAAAATGTATAAAAAGCATTGGATCTTAACAATACAGAAAAAAATTCTGTTTTAATTCGAACACCTTCAAATCTCTATCTAATTATTAAACTGTGTCATTGTTATTTTTTCTCATCAGATAAGTTTTGCTGAGGCGTTGGAACAGATGAAACTGAATCTGGTTGATGATCATTTTTATTTTGTTCTGTCACAATGTGAGCTATAGTAAACCTTTTCTTTTTCAGCTGTCAGATACATCATCTGAAAATCTGATGTTTAAAAGTCCGTATGTATGGGCAGGTGCAGTGACGTCTTGGTTAAAAAAAGCAGTGAATACCCGAATTCTCAAGCTTCTTTCATTCAAAAGTTATTCAAAAAGCCTGGTTCCGCAGACTAAAGTAAGGGCTATACAGAAATAAATTTCTGTTTCTCTACCCGCAATACGAAGAGAAGTATGTTAGAATATCAAAGAAAAGACGTACAGCCGTGGCACACTGGGCATTTCTGGCTAGACCATGCGGACATGTAGTAAAGAATGTGCAAGGAAGGATCGAAGAATAGCTTTTATAGGTTTTCGACTACGCTCTATCCAATGGTGAACTCAGAAAACTTCCTGGATTTGTGAAAAGGGTCGGAATTTCTGGAAAACTGAGTTTGGGGAAAATTTTCGCTCGGATTTTCGAAAAGCCGTGAAATATAGGTAATCGATAGCCCTGATGACGAATATCTATAAGAATTTTCCTTTCCTCCGAAAAACGAAACCTTTTCTTTGTAGTAGCGGAATTTTACCTCGAATTAACCCTACGAGCTCAAATGCCACAGATAATTGACAAATCCCTGCCAGAATTTTATGAATGGCTCGTCATCAGGGTACAGCAAACTGCTGCACGTGTGAACGCGCTTCACCATTTTAAAACACAAAATACACGTATAAAAAGGCTTTTGGCGCTTTTAGTTTCTAATATAATATCAAATGCTATGTGCAATTTTTCGCAAACTGTGATTTGAGGGTTTTATTGATTTAGAAAACGTCAAAATTATTTATTTGTAGGGATGTTAGCCATTGGTGTATTACCATCAACGTTTCCCCTCCTCACCGCGGAGAGGTCTCCCTAATAGAGCAAGGTAAGTTGAAAAAACGTGCGTGAATCATTTCAAAGCATGTATAATAGATTGTTTAAAAATACGTGCACAAAAACTCGTGTCGTGCTTGCGCAAGTACGGCATGTAGAAAACTTCCGAAAACGGGAGAATAGTTTCTGGATACTGCAGATTGACAACTACACGGTCTTTTCTGACACATAAGCCCATATTCGGCGCCATAAGCTGCATAAGTAGAAGTAAAATGTTTGTTGAACTTAGAAACTTTTCGCGTGTGCAGTAGCAGTCCCTTTATGAGTTTCATAATCCATTACCTATAGTCCGTAAATTCCAGCTTCAAAAAGCGTTTCTATTAAAAGACTTTTAACGTTACTATATCTCGCCAACAGTTAAGACATGGAATTGACTGCTCATGAGTAGAGGTGTTAGCCGATTACTTTATCAGCGGCGGCGACGGCGAAAACCTAAAAAACATTTCCGCCTTTGGCGACGGCGTGAAAATTTTAAAACAGGTTATCATTTTCAATAACAAACTGAAAGTTTGAAAATTTTTTGGTGGCGGCGAAAAATCTCAAAAACAAATTTCGTCTATGGCGGCGGCTAACACTTCTACTCATGAGTTTAAAATAGTTAGAACTATTTTATTATAAAGCAGTAATAAATAACTATTTTTAAACTCAACAGTACTGATGACAGCGAAGAAAAAGCTACATTGAGCACTTTTTTATCATATACGCATGGTCTTGTTTCTTTCGTAAATATGTATTCTAAATACTATGAAAAAAAGAGCTATTGAATAGAACTAAAAAAAAAAACGTTGATTTTTTTAACGAGCAAGAACAGTAATAGTAAAAAGCACGACATTGCTTGACATTCTTACGTTATTTATAAATATAAAAAATACATCGTTGTGTCATACAGTACCTTTATGGAATTTGTCAACAGAACACAACGCAGGATATTTAGTTAACAAAACATTGCATTAAAACCTATTTTTACAAAGATTCAATGTTAGACAAACGCCGTTTGATTCCTCAAATATGTGAACATTTGACAGGTAAAAAGCTTGTGAGGAGTGAGAGAGAAAACAAGAAATACAACGCAGACTGCAATTTATGTAAAACTGAATTATCAAATAGTTTCTTTCATCGTTGTCGGAAATCAAGCCACCTTTATCTATACCTCCTCGTTAATAACATGCGTATTTGAATTCAAAATCTACGAAGTTTATTGAAGTATTTAGTTTCGTTTCGCTCTTTTTCTAATTTTTCTTTCTCTTGGTTATTCAGATGCTGCTAAATCGTTCACTCATCACGAGAAACAATTTATAAAAACTCGTAAGGAAAAGATTTTTGATCTTACGCGTTTGAAACCAGGTGATCATATTTCATTCTATCGAAGTGATCTTCATTATTCTCATCATGGTATTGTGAAAGAGGCTAGCGAGAATCACCTGATTATTATCCATTATTTTAATACGGTCGAAAATGCTTGGGGTAGTCTGATAAAAGGTAGTTTATACATTGCCAAAGTCATCGAGAGCGAATGGCCATTTGACAGCGACAAAGAAGAATTATATTTGCATCATTATGATGATATTCAATGTTTTTCAAATGAAGAAACATTGACACGTGCTTTGTCGAATCTTGGCGAAACTGGCTATAGTTTATTTTCGAATAATTGTGAACATTGGGCGCGATGGTGCCGTAGTGGAGAAAACTATAGCGAACAAGTAATTCAATTTCGTCAACGTATTCAACAAAAATCAGCTGCACTACTCATTGTTGATCCAATCGCATTTATTGTCAAAGATGTGGCAACGGTTGGAGCTGATACCTTTGGAATATTTTTGGGACGCGTTGCTGGTGGACTTGTTTTAACAGCTGTCGAAGGCGTATCGACTGCGGTGGACATTAACAGAAAACATAATGATTACAACAAGGGCAGTTTAAGTGTTTTAGCATTTAAAAAATATGTTGTGAGAAGAATAACATCGGCAGCCGGTACTGTTATTGGAGGAAGTGCTGGAATGATTGTTGGTACCATACTAATTCCTGTGCCCATTTTGGGATCTACCATTGGTGGAGTAACAGGATCTATCGGAGGTAAAATAATTGGCGGTATCGCTGGTATTGGTGTCTCGAAAGTTGTGGAAGTATACGAAAAACTAAAACGTCAAAAAATAATGAATATGACAACGATACCACAACTAATGGCTAATTTATCACTTGAGAGCCAATTAGTTCAAGGATTATTGACTACAACATCGACAAACGATAACCGTAAGCTGCTTGAGGAAAACAATGACATTAGCACATATGCATCAGCAGCAGAGTTGATAAATAATTCGAATCCAACATCTAAATCGTTATATCCATCGGTAGCTGAATTTTTAGATAGCAATGAATACATGGAGACATTTTCTGACAAAGAATGTATAATGGCAACAAACTTATCAGCAGATATTCTTTCAACGTCAAACGATACAGATTCATATGATTATTTCGTTCTTACACCATTACCCGATAACAATGATGACCAACAATTCATCAAAGCTGTTGATCTTCTTGTATTGCGGTGGCCATCAAATAAATGGGACTTTAGCGAGGAAACAGTTTTGGAAATAAAGGAATTGACTGACTGACTTTTCGCTGAGAGTCTCTTTTGGTATTCAATCGGAATGTACACTTCATATTGAGGTGTTTCTGTTAGAGTGCATAGTCTGCCATATCAACAAAAGGACAAACAATACGTTGATACTTCGCTTTTTGTGATAGACTGTGATGTATTTCAAACACGAAAGTAGACCAACGGCATGCATTTCCATACTCATTTTTATTCGACTTCACAGTGAAAGCATTTCATCGATCCTTCTCGACTTTTCACTCGAATAAATTGTTTATCAACATGCACCACTATCCACTCATCAGTCTGATCCGAAACGAAATCACAGATATCTTTCTTTAGTGACTGTTCATATATTTTCATATCTTCGTTTAGATATGGAAACCCCTGCAAAATTGTTGTATGTCGTAGCCACAGATGGATGATTCGGGTCCAGTGTTTTCAGCTGAAGTTCCAGTGTCTTGTCATAATAACTCAAGGTCTTTGAGTAGTCACCCATATTACTGTAAACCAGCCCAAGATTGTTGTAAAATGCCGGGATGCCAGAAATCCAACTGGATTCGATACTCACGAGGGAAGGTCACCAAGTGTTCGCTTTCGAGCTGAGACTCAGTTGACCGGGGGTAATCGAGCATGCTGATTCCGAATTTCATAATGGTTTGAGCTAATTTTGACTTTAAAGCTCCGGTTTTTGAAGATCTTGATTTTCAAGCCGAAAAACCATTTGAGGTAAAAAAATGGAGCTTTAAAAAAGAGAGGAAGAACCGGCCTTTTTACGCAGTATAGTGCAAAAATTGCTCTTTCTTTGCCTTGTTTTTCAACTTATCGAAGGTCTTTAATCAATATCGCTGCGTATATGTGTTAGACATGACACACTCCAACTTTACTGGCATTTAATAGAAAAAGAAAATTATGTGTAGTTAGCAGTTAAAAAAAATTTCAAGGTATGTGAGATGCATGAGTTAAAGCATAGTTTTCCTTTTAAATTGAAAATTAGACTCAGATACATATGGAAGAAATATCACTATAAGATAAGAGATAATAAGATTTCACAGAATGCTCATGCTTGAACTTTATAATTAATGAATTATCCTATGAACAAACACCAAACATAAATGTTTTTCTCAAAAGATATTTCTTAAGAAATATCTTTAAGAACTTAGGATGTAAATAGATTATACTGTGCATTGAGAGTTCAAACAACCAAATATATTTCGACGATTGATTAATGTCTTTATCACCTATGAAAATAAAACTATAATCCTCACTCTCATGATCACACCCCGACCATCTCCAGACGTAGTTGTTTTCCGTTCATTTCGAATCAAACAGTTCATAAAGTGAGTAGCAACATTTTTTACTCTACAATTTTTGAAGACTAGATGATCTACTGTTTGCCTTTCTCGTGATTCCATCCGGTTTATTGATAATAAAAACAAATTCTTTTGGCTAAAATGCACTAAATGATAAAAATTGTGTAGTGTAGGTATGCACCAGTTCTGGAACTGGTGAGAACTGGAACTGTTGCTATTCAAAAAAAATTTTCTGTCTAATTAAATCGAAAGGTAGATCACCAGATGCAGTTTTTCACACTGACCACGAAAATCTATTTTAAAATTTATAAAAGTTAAAACTTCAACGTAAAAATTTAAATTTAAAACTTTTACCTTTCGATTTAATTAGATAGATTTTTTTTGAACAGTCGACAGTTCCAGTTCTTACAGTTAAAAGCTGGAAGTGGTGCATACCTATTGTGTAGTAATTTCACATGTGAGAGTGAACACTACTCTTTCATCGAATGCATTTAGATGAATGTTGTCGTAGTTTTGTTGAAAGACATGGTCGAGGTGAAACAATTAGTTTCAACTTTTCATCAAAGACTTCTTCATCATCATCATCATCATCATTATCCACTTGGACATTTTCATCTATTTGTTTTGTCGCTATAACATTTGATTGTTTAACTCTTTTGATTGGTATAAGG